GGCTTGTTTTACAACGTCGTTGCCAAGCGACGAAAACCCAACCCCGATGGCAAACACCGGGGATCTCCATCTCCGGGAGGGGGGTGGGGGTGGGGGGTACTATGATGTTTTGCATGCCTCAGGGATTAGACCATATACCACGCGTCGTCGAGAGGACGGAGCATTGTTCCCACAGGACTGATCACCAATTGCCAATCGATCCTTCCTACTTTGCCAAAGGTGGCTCAAAAATGTTTTCAGTAGCAGCCCTTCTATCGAACATGCATCGGGGAGGGGGGGGGCAATCATGGGATCATACGAAACGTATGCAAAAACAAGCCGCGACTGTAAGGTCTGTTGCTCACCTCTGCTTCGAAGAACCTTTCCCCCCGATGCCGCGCCAGGCCATGAAACAGCTGCGGGAAGGCCCGCGCGTAGCGCGTGATGAGCTTGATGGCTTCCAGAGAGAACTCCCACGACCGCGCCTGAAAAAAATGACACAAAACAAAAAAAAAATGACGAAAAACATGACAAATATATAAATATCGTAGAGATGGATCAATTGTGCTGAATACAGGAATGATTTAAAGGCAAAGGCACACGTGAGGAGCTTTAGAATACGGCATTGACGTGTGTGTGTCAAAACCGACTCGCATCAGGAGGTTTGAAACACCGATGCACACGAGGATATTATGACAACAGGGTGCTACAGCAAGCTTGCGTGCAAAAGGACGCGAAGTGTGCTCATGTACACGAGATGCACAGCGCGCTAGGTTGACACAATCATGTACGCGAACGTTCGAGCTGCTAGGTTGACACAATCATGTGCAAGAGGACGTAATGGGCCTTCTCCCCCTCCAGGGTATCGTACGCTGCGTAAGATACCACACCGACTAGATCCATTATCAAAACTCGACTAGACTGCACGCAAGTGCCTGTGCCGAAAAAGGCGGCGTTGGAACCGTCTCGTCGACGGCTTTCCAGAAACGTACAACACAGAAAAATACAACAGCAACAACAGCAGCAGCAGGTACACAACCACCGATGTTCATGTCTACACAGCAGCAGTCCCTACAAGACTGCTGTACAGAATCAACAACGAGCAACAAAACACAAAACATTGATGTTGATCTTGACCAGCAGTCACTACAATACCGCACAGAAAACAAACAACAAACAGAAACACCATTCTCTTGATGTTGATGTTGACACAACGATGTTGACACTGTGGCGATTCACTTCTTCTAGGTTCAATCTAGCTACCCTTGCCGTTAGGCTCACCTCCATGTCTTCGGTCACCGGCGCCGACCCCACCACTCTCACCGTGTCCGAGGTCGACCACGCTGGCTCGTTGCGAAGAACGCACCTGAACACGGACGAAAAACGAAAACAACAAAATAACGCCAACAACAGTCCGATAAAAAAAAAAACACATTTTGAAGTAAAGAGAACAGGACAGGCCCGCGCTCGACAACCCGGTAATGAAGAACTTGAGCGTCACTCAAAATTTCCGAAAATACCACAAGTCGACCACACGAACAGGCGCTACAGTACAGCTTACACACAAACAGGCGCTACAGTACAGCTTACACACAAACAGGCGCTACAGTACAGCTTACACACAAACAGGCGCTGGCAAGTCGTGGTGGGGATAGATGAAAAAAGAAACAAGCCTAGGCTGAATTAAGAGGCTCTTAAGAGCGGCCTGTAACATACCTGGAATGTGGACAAGAACACACACCACCGTTGTGGAAGCTCAAATGAACGTGGACGTGAAACCTAAATGGTCAACATATTTTTTGTGCTTTTCGCGCTGTGAACCGGCCCCAGAATTGACGGTACGAAATCAAGGGCCTTGGAAATTAGAAACGAGCAAAAAAATTGTGTGAATCAACGATAACCTCAAACGGAAAGGGAACCGACATGGAGGGTTGAAGTAGCAAACGGTGTGTCGAGGGGTATGCTTCACTATACACGCACACCCCCTACGGTATTGCGATACTTGTATAGTCTACACACATACGGCTACCTCTCGTGGTCACTCTCCTGTACTACTGCCATTCACGATTCCTTACAAGACCCTGGGCTCATCCCCCCCCCCCCCCCCNCCCCCCCCCCCCCTCCCCTGCGTCGGCAAATCGTCTAAGCTGCCTCCCCCCCCCCGCTTGAAGCGACCATGCTCTTACCGAGAGTACCCGAGCAGCTGGTAGCGGCCGTTCTGTTTGAGGTTGAGGCCTAAGTCCACTCTGCCAGGGTCGACTGAGACGCTCCCGACGATGCGTCCAAACACCTGCCCACAACAAGAAGCGAAAAGCGAATAGAAAGAAACAAAAAAAACGAAGAAAAAAAAAAGTCAACATCGAATACAACTACATACCGATTGAGGGTTCGCAAACGAGCATCCGTCATCCTTCAGAAAGGTGACGAAGAAAAAAAAAATCGAGGAAAAAGAAGAAAGAAAAAAGAATGACACGACAAAATCGCAGGACAAATAATCATCCTTTGAGGGAGGCGCACAGAGCAGGAACACAAGGTGAGTTTTTTCACAGGTTGGTCTGTTAAGACAAGGTGGGCTTACGGGTTGGTCTTAGGACGAAAAGGCGAGCTTTTCCTGCTTGGTCTTATGACGACAAGGTGGACTTACGCGGGATGGTCGTAGAAAGGCAAGGTAGGCCTACACGGGCTGGTCTAACAACAACAGCAACAGCAGTAACTCATCCCACTTACTGCCATCCCTCCCAGCCTCTTCTACCTAATCCACCATACCCCACCGTCTTGCCTTTCTCAACTGCAGTCCCCCCCCCCCAAGATCTTCACGCAAGTTATTCTACAAGCCCACCTGCGGCGAGATCCCAAGGGTCTGGCACGCCTTGTGCTGAGGGAAGTAGGCGGTTTTGACGGACTGTACGATGGCAAGCCCGAAGGGCGGCTCGGGTGGCCTCAAGTCCGCAAGCACGTCGACCTGCATGGTTCATTGTCGTGGACGCCATGTGTGGTAGAAATTGAAACAAATAAAAAGAACGCGATAACAGGCGGATGGATGAACGACGTCAGTCAACTTGCTTGCGGGACAATCAAAAGAAAGCGGGCTTCAGACCCAGCAGAAAGAAGTGCTTGGGGGACTTACAACACACAAAAAAAGCGGGACAATCAAAAGAAAGCGACGTCTTTGAGGCTAGCTCGGTAGGATCGGGAGTATGTTCATGCGACGACGGAACGGAGGAACGGTCGCAACGACTTTTTCCTGTGAAGACAACAACAACAACAACAGCATCAACAATACCAGCAACAACAGCAATAACAACAAGAGCAGCAACGTATCAACAACAACAAGAGCAGCAGCAACAAGAGCAGCAACGTATCAACAACAACAACAACAACAACAGCAGCAGCAGCAGCAGCAGCAGCAGCAGCAACAACAACAACAACAACAACAACAGCACTCTTTCGTGCGTGCTGTGACAGACATTCATAAAACGATGGTAAGCAGGAGTTGAGTCAAAGCCAAACCTATTTTGAGTCATGCACAGCAGTTGACTCACCCTGAAGAGGGCATCCGCCCTATTCAAACTGAAAAAACACAACTTGATTTTCTGTCTGCGTCAAGAGATTTCACCCGCCCGGCGGCCTACATAGGGGCCATGCGCACTATTGAGGGCCCACCTCTCTCTCCACTGTGTTCTACTACAAGACAGCAGCGGCAGCAGCAACAGCACATAATAAATGACGCAATTCGTTTACCGTATATGACACAAGATAACACACCCCCATGGACCGACTTCCTTTCCCACTTCACGGTGTTTGCCATCGGGGTTGGGTTTTCGTCGCTTGGCAACGACGTTGTAAAACAAGCCAATTCACTTGGTGAACTCGGCAACCAGGTTACCGTTGTTTTTTTTTACCTCCGTTTGTTTTTTTTGGCGGTAACCATAATGGTGGTCGAGTAGATCATGTTGTGCGGGGTGGAGAACCCTCACTCCGCGCAAGGGGGATGATCGCACCACGTTGTGTTTAAATGGTCAAGCACCCTCGAGGCAGTTACACAGTGCTTACAACTGTCTCTGGAAGTGAAAGCACCAGAAAATAAAT